GCCACTGCGCTGCAAAGGCAAAATGGGACAGTCCATTGTCTCTGGCACAATCCCACGACCTGCGCTCACCATTGTTCCAAGAACAGTCGTGTGGTGACAGCTGGAAGCTTGGAGCATCCCTCCTGCCCTGACCATCACCCACCACTTCTGAACCCAAGGTGGGTGAAACATCACTGCCAAGCATGGCAGAGAGGAGGGAGGACGGTTAATTAACACAGACTAATTAACCTGCCCCACTCTGTGCTGCAAGGAGGCAGAGTTCACCCCCGTTATAGAAGCCTTGTTAACGGAGCCGGTGCAAACCCAAGGCTACTGCTTCAGCTCACCACTCCAGCCCCTTGTAAACATTTTGACATGCATCTCACTCGTGCAAACTCTGCTGCTCCAAAGAATAACCTTTGAGAGGAGGCTAATGTCACTACTCAAGCGAACACAAGAGAGGAACTCATCTCCCTGCAAAGCCTCAGGTCTGGCAGCTGCATCTGCAGTGACCGTCTTCAGCCAAGGATCAATTTTTGACAAAGGTTCTTCTTCCCCCTTCAGTTGTGTCTGTGCCGTCCATCTCAACCAGTTACAGTGGAAGGGTGGCTTTTCCCTTGCCTGGAACTATCTGTTACAATTTATACACACACTAGCCATGCACTCCATGCCTACATTTCTACTACTCTTGCACTGAATTTACTTGCCTTGCCTCACACACAATATGGTTCAGCACTTGTTAAGGTATAAATGTAAAAAAATACACCACTAAAACACACAGCTTCCTACAGACAACACATCATAAACTGTCACCACGGGAAGAAAAAAATACAAATAAATAGAGATTTTATGATTAAAGCAAAAAGGACTAAGGATACTCTTGATTAAGAATATGCCCAGAATATCCCCCTGCACTGCCTATGCTTCTGACCTGCCCTGATCCTCATCCCTTCCCACAACCATGGGTCAAAGGAGTTGGTGCATCCTGTGTCTATGATTCCTGGATTCACTGGTTGCCCCTACCAGAAGGGCCCTAGCCCTGCCCTTCTCCTTCTGCAAGGAGGAGCCTGTGCCCGAGCCACAACGCGAGCCAAGAGCTGCCTCCCTGCCCGCAGACAGGGCCCCGGGCTCTGCACCCCCAGCCCTCCCTCCACAGCCTCTTTCCAGCCTCCATGCGTGTTCACCTTTGGTATTTTCATTGTGAGACAGGATCAGCTGAGACTGAAGGCCCAGAAAACCCCATGCTGTGTGCCTTGCATTAAGTGTATTTTCTCTTACGCTAGAAAAAGGCTTACAAGACATTTTTTTTATAAATATATATCTATGAAATTTTGAAAGTAGAAAAAAACATTATAATATCATAAGGCAGCAAGGAATACAAAGGAAAAAAAAATCAGTGAATCGCATACTAAAGAAAAATGCGTAACCAACTCCTTCATGAATTCTCTTTATACTTTCAATGACAAATGTGCACCATTCTGCTGACACAATTGCTGATGCTATTGAAAAAGTCATCCAAGGAGGCTGACTTTAGAATAAAATTTTATAAAGAGAGGAAATTGGGATATTTCCTTCTACTTAATTGAAACATCCTTACCATGACCATATAGAATCCACTTGGTCTTTTTAACCGATTTAGCAATAAAGACATAACATTTGGGGACTGACTTCCAAAAAAGCACCCAGTTATAAGGTAAGAATATTAAAATGGTAGTCAGTAAAAAAGGAAAAAAAAATCACACAGAAATGATTTAATGACACCTAACAAGAGACTCCTGCAGTAACTCTGTGTTTTTGATATTGCTATTAATTTTTAATACTATCATCAGATTCCATTGACTCAAATCACTGAGGAATTCTTAAGTATTTGCAATCATCAGTCAAACAAGGAGCCGTTTCAGCTCTCTGCCCTTAGAACCATGAAGTATAAACTTTCAGCTTCCATACAGAAGATATTTTTAAAATGAAGAGTGCATTTCCCAGAATAATGATGCTCTAATACCAAACAGCAGCTCAGTTATTTTGTGTTAAGAAACCAAAGCCCTTCTTACACAGTTTCAAAGCAGCAGCTGTGACTTTGAAACCAGGAACTCATCCTGGCCACCTGCTTTAAAACTAGCCAAAATAAACGTGGCGGGAGGGCTCCTTAATCACGGCGTGGCAGGAGAGCCCAGGTCACCGGCTCTTTCAGCTTTGGAGCCTGGAGATCACCGGCTCCTCCAGGATCTCGGCTGGCCGAGGATTTTGGGAGCAGGCTGCACGGGGAGGCTGGGTTAAGCATTGGGAGAGGCTGCGGTGCCCGGGAGCACGGCTTGCGGCACGGCCGCGCTGCCGATGGCAGAGCCTCCTTCCCGCTCACCGGGAACATGGGAAGGATCGTGGCCTCCTTGGAAAGGTTTTGCTTTCTTTGGTGAAAGGTATTTTTTATAAAGCCCAGCACCCCAGAGCGGTAATGACCCTGAACAAAGCCTGAGAGGGTGCAGTGCGAGTCACCTCATGGTGGTTTCAGTGATCACAGCAATCCTGCCCAGCCCCGTGCCCAGCAGCATGACTCTGGGGCGAGCGGCACGTCAGACCTGCAGAGCCCCCGGCACCGGCAGCACCGCGTCCCCGGCCCGCGGCAGAGCCCCAGGCCGCTCCAGCGGGGAAGGGATCCAGCCCCGAGTTCACAGAGACTGAGTCACTCCCAAGCCTCAGCAATAAAAAAAGAGAATTTTTACTTTAACTTGAAAGCAGTCCCCTTCAGAAGCCACACTACAAAGTACTACAGAAAAAGAAAATCCTCAATATTTAAAAATAAACAAACAGGTTCCTAAAAGTCTGTCTTAATATAGTGGTGCTAAAAGGAAAAAAAAAAAAAAGAAACAGAAAAATCAGGTCAGCACTACGTGTTCTTGCTTCTCTCGGCTCCTGCTCCCCTGGGCTTTGCTCACCCGCGCTGCCGAGGAGCGCGAGGAGGAAGGTTCTGCTCCCAGGCTAGCGCAGGGGTCGCTCCTTCACTCCCGGCTTCACCAAAGGCCTCTGCGGGGCTGCTGCCCAAACTTGACAGTCTGGCTTCAGCAGGTCTTCTAACACAGAAATAGTATCAGCCTAGTCAAAATCATGTGACACTTCTTTCTTGGAAAAAAAATAAATAAAAATAAATAAAAATACACACATCAGGTTGAGATGAAAACTGCCCACACGCCAAGTTTGTGTTTACAAGCTTAAGAGCAAGTTTCATTTGAACACAGGTCAATGCCGCTTTAAGAAAACATCACATTCCAGAAAAAAAAAAAAAAAAAAAAAAAAAAGCACCCTCACACATGGCAGAGCCCATCACAGGCAGGGAGGAATTGCGGACTCAGTCGGCGAGGCACCGAGCCAGCATGAGGAGCCCTTTGAAGTTAGAAAAACATCCTCTGGTCGGAGCACATTTGCGAAGCCGTGGGACAGGCGCTTTAAACAACACTGGCGCGGGATCACCTGCGGCGTGCCCGTGGGCTGGCGCCGGCGCCGCGACCCGCTCCACGCCACGCGCTCCCGCTCCTCACCACGCGCCTCGTTTCCTCGCTGTCGGAGGAGCGCCCGCGCGGGCTCCCGTCGACGCTGCCCACCACCTGCTCTGCGGTTATCAGCAAATCCCAGGGCTCGTCACAGCGCGGCTTTCAGTCCCCATCGCTCCCGGACGGTGAAAACCACAGGTTAGGGGACACGCTTGACCAGCACCCCTGCACACAGCTGCGCCATGCGCACACTGAAGCCTGGCTACTCCTCCTGGCTAGTGCTGCTGGGCAACTTAACATCGTCTTTACTTGCGATGTCGGTCGCACGGCTCTCGCGAGCATCAAGCTCACTCAGGCTTCTAAAGTTACAGCTAAGCAATACCAAATCCAACTAACAGCTAAAACAGCACATCTGGACAAGATGTTAAGGCTGATGGCTACATTTCAATGACATCTCCGTGGTAGCATCAGTAGATACAATATTGCCCCCTCAGCTGGTGCCTTTTTTTTTTCCCCGTGATCTGCCACCATGTTTTAACCCAGGAGAGACTGCTTCTCAGTGCAAAGCCCAGCACAATAGCTTACACAGTGACAGATCTCATTTACTTCTTCATGCAAAAAAAAAAAAAAAAAAAAACTCTGCAAATGATGAAAATCATGTGGTACCTTCATAATTACTAAGCAATGCTGCAGGAATAGCCTTCCTCAAAACAAGCTTTTTAACCTATCTGCAAAATTACGTGGGTAATTACAGATGATTATTTAAGTGGCAATAAAGTTGTGAAAACTGTTATGAACCTGTCAGAAGAAGAGGAGAATCAGACTTGCTCTTCAGAGCAAGTGTACATCAGCATTACACTTCCACTGGAGCTTCCAGACAGCTGCACCACTTGAGACTTCCCTCCTCATCCTCTCATGTGGCAAAAAAACCTGATACAAAACCACTGAAAGCAATGAGAGGTTTCCCCTCTATTGCAGCAGGGCTTTCAAATCATAACCTACATGTCGTCCGGAAAAATACTGCAAAAGTTTTCAAGATGATACAAAACTACTTGCCCAACTGCACTGAGTTAGCTAAAAATATGCTTCTTTAAAGTACTTTATGTAGTAGTTTATTCTGAAAAACTTGTTTCACGCATGCATGCCAGGAACAAGACCTTGCACATTAGTTTTACCTAAACACAAATGCTTTGACTGAGATAACCTGTGAGGTTTACCCTCAAAATAAAATTAAATATTCAGCATGGTTAAATGAGGCACAGTTTTTTCCATGGGAAAATATCAAAACATTATTTATTTTTCTGTAAGTACTTGTTTTGAAAAGCCCTTCCTCCCCACCTGGGCTTCGGCTAAAAGCCACAATCTACATTCAAACAGTGTGTACGCTTTAGAAAACTATCAACCATCTTTTTTGTTTAAAAAAAAAAAAAAAAGGCAAAAACAAGCAGAAGCCTATGAAATTATTTGATCCACTTTTCATATAGAAAGTCTAAGGCTGACCATAAAGAAATAGGCAGGCTCCCAGTATAAACTCACCAGGATTACATCAAAGGCCTTCCTCTAGGATCAGACGATTGATTTCTTCAGTGCTTTTTAGAATTTCTTCCAGGACATTCTGGGTTATTGCCTTAGACCTTGCTCAGCTGGAATGACAGATATTCTGTTTGCTGGCCTGTGATGTTCTCTTTATAGGGGAACGAGTGTCTGTAGTTTATACACACGTACTCTATGTGAGCAGAGAGCGACTTGGAAAGTTCACAAGCAAAATTATTATTTATTGTTTCAAAAAGAGAGTGGTTTATTACAGAAATACTGATACAGGCTCAACCACAGCATCTTATGCAATACAGAGACTTCTTGTTATTCTGCAAGCTCAGGACTGGGGCACTCTGTGCTCAGAGAAAACGTCAGCTCCCCCAAACAGGCATTTCTTCTTTATGTGGCATTTGGGGCGTAAGACCTAGTTTTACAGCTGCTACGCTCTTTACCTAACTCTTTTGAAATTAACCTTTGAGGTTAATAAAAGGTTTTCAAGACAGGATACCAGGAAGCGCCTCAGTCCTTCTGTACCACCAGGGAATCCTTGGGGAATCAGACGGCCAGCTCCGCACGGGCAGCACGACACACTACCCTCCGTCCGCCTGCCTCCCCCGGCGCAGACCTGTCACCTCGGCACCACTCATCCTCCGCATCAGAGCCGGGATCAAAAGATCCGAGGCTGCTCCCAAATCCCATTTCTCCTGCAAGACGGTACTTTGTTCTGTCACTTCCCCACAGAGTCTATCCCCTTATTTTATGCCTCCCAGCGTGTGTGGCTGCACCCCAAGATCAAACACCCATGCTTGATTTTCTTTCACAGATCTTGAATCGCAGCGTTACACTTTAATAGGAACCTCAACATAGTTAATCCCTTTAAAGCTGCCACAGTAATGCCCCCAAATGCATTAAATTCCACCCTAATCACAAAACACAAAGTATTTCTCCGGATGGACAGTGCCCAGGCTGTTCTGACCACATGCTGATCCATCTAGGAGCTAAAGTTACACGGGCTGCGTACAGTTGCTCGCTGGAAGCCCAAGGTTACATGGCTGACGAGTTCTCTGCTGTAAATTTTGCTCAGGACCTAACCCATTTCCTCCCCACGTTTTCAAGAAGGTTCCCTCGTTCTCTGGGGATTCTCACTGCAAGTGATCCAGGGAGCCCTGACGCAGGTCCAAACTCTCCTGCAAGCAGAGCGGGGCCGAGTGCGCAGCGAGGAGCACCGCGCTGCCAGGCAGGCACGGGCTGGCACCAGTGCAGCCACCCGCGAGCGACGGCCCTCCTCATGCCAACCCCTCGCTTTCCACATATCTGCAATGGTTTTGAAGTCTTTCTATTAATGAAGTCAAATCTCAGGCTTCAGCCAGGCCTGTGCACTAACCAGGAAGGAACAACCTTTCCCTGGATTTTCTGAAAAGAAACGGCACTTTTGGAGACCTCCTTTAGCAGTCTGACGTGCGAGCTTGGCAGCTCCACCGCATGCTCAGGCTGACTACTACTGCAGAAGAGACCTTGGAGAAAATTATCAAGCCATTGGGGTTTGGAGAAGGAGCGGGAGCACTGCTTGCCTGGCGAGTCTAATTCACAAGAATTTCAGACTTAAGCAGCAACTTCTCCTCAGACATGTGTGGCAGGGCGCTCGGCTTGAATCAGAGGAGGGGGCGCTCCCTTGGCCTGGTACCATCTTCTAGGTACATTACTACTAATCTCTTCTTGGCCATTGAGAGCTAAGGCACTGATAACATTTCAATCTCTCCCGGCCACGGTCTTCTAAGGAGCAAGAGGATTTAATCTACCAGAACTCTTACAGCTTATAACAACAGGACCATTTACTGCCCTACAAGACACCATAGACCACAGCATGAAGAAAATCAGTGGCACTCAACAGCTGTTGGAGGACCTCCCAACAAGACACTACAACACTCCCTTCCTTGAAGGATTAGATTCTCTAGGCCTGAAAGGATCTAAAGGACTAAAGGATCTCTCGATGGGCACGCTAGGGGAGCAGGACAGCAAGACGTGAACCTTCCCAAGCTGTCTCCCCTCTCTCTTGGATTACACCGTAGTAGAAGTATCTGCAACAGCACAGCCCTTCCAGCACGGCTAACAGCACTGGCGTCCCACCACGGCAGGACGAACGTCGTGACATGTTCCAACACAAACACGCGTTGCTGGCTCAGAAATCAGACACAACGAAGATTTTGCGTTTGGAACTTGGTTAATAATTCTTGAATGGAATACAGCCCAACTCAACCTCCCATCGCTGTACTTACTCTGTGGGAGTAAACACAAGCTTAGTTTTGCTGCCAATGTTGGCAGATGTAACTAAATAAATAGGCAAGGGAAGTCTATTTGACCATTTCTTCATGTTCAATTTTCAAACAAAAACTATACCTTATTTCACAGTAAAAATTATTTATAGATATCACATGGTCTGAGGACTCCCGAGTTTTCAGGAGAGTTGGTATGCTTAATACAAACTAAAAAAGCAATTAATTATAATGGAAAATTATTCTAAGTAATTTACATTTCAACATCTACCATTTGCTTCTCAACCAGGTTTTGATGCTAACATTAAGGAAACATAACTCATCCGTAATATTTTCTATAAAGGCCAACAGCTGCAGCAGGGGGAGCAATAATTCATTTTGATTTAAATATCATCATCGAACAATTATTTCCCAGCTTTGGAAAAACTCTTACAAGGTTTCAGTGCTCAGGAGACTTCTCTTTCCTCTCTTCCTAGCTCAATTCAAAAGAAACCATAAAAGTCATCTAAGATCATCTTCTGAGGAGTGCCTACAACTATCCACTTACTGAGCTCCTCCTGGGTCTTATTACAGATCTCACAAAAAGCCACAGAAGAACCTTCTGCTAATGAATTCTGCTCTGAAGAACATTCCCATATGTCAAGAATCACATGCAAAAAAAATCCCATTTTTATTATAAGCAAAATTTAGTGTAAAACCTGGACCAAATTATTTACATTTGAAGTCATTAAAGAATATAACATGCTGTTAGTACTTTTCACCCTCAACCAAGGCCTTCTCATTTAGGAGAATTAAGGTTAAGCTAAGCCAGGAGGAAGTATTCAACAGCCCAAGAGACACAGCTTTCTAAGGTAACTTAGAGGAGGACTTCACTAGCTGCTGGTCAGAACCTGCTTCCTTCTTACAATTTAAGTAATCCATTCCGGAGTGGGCAGGAGAAAGAGGGTTGTGAGAGATTGAGAGAGTTGCTTTAATTAGGTTGTTTGCAGAAACTTCATGGGCCATTCAACTTTCTAATCAACTTCCCCAAATTAAGCACGCACCACATTAAACCTAAAATACCTTTAAAACAAGCCCAGATTAAATGCAGATTGTCGTCCACCCACCTCCTGCATATGGCTCAAGCAAAGTCAACTTTTAATTTCATAACACAAAATATTTAATTTATGCTTTTCTGCATATGTCAATGTAACCTCCGGCACATTGCTTTGAAACCATGTAAGGATGTCTAACACTTTCCATATGGCAACTGAATTGTGGCTTTTAATTGCACCAACTGGTATCATTCAAGGATAATTCCCTTGGAATCTAGCTTTCTGCTGCAGTATTGGCCAATTCACTAATCTCATCACCATGGCACTAATACTTGCAGAGACTCTTTGAGTGTTAATATTCATATTGTAATTTACCCAAACCATAGCTGTCAAGATGTACTATGTGCACTCCTAATTAAATTATCTTGGTTTGTTGGCACCAAACTTCAGCACTACATAAGGCTCTGCTTCTCTCTCTCTCTCATACAAAGTTTTGCATTTTTATTTTAAACACCAGATACAGCATATTTGATATATCGAAATATTTTTTCAGTCATACCAATATCTAGGACTGCCAAGCCTACTGTTTCTTTTAATCCTCAGAGTCAGTACAATTAATTAGCTACACAATACCTACACTAATATACTTGAAAACATTTGCGTTAAAAAGACCCCTTAAAGTAGTCACACAAGAGAGCACCCAAGGAAATTTTTAATTGATCTTGTCACCATATCAATAAGGCAACAGTCTGTCAAATGCCATTCTACCCATGAAATGACCCTGAAGTGGTGTTACAATCAAATCTTCCACTTAGCAGCCTTCAAAGCTCAGCAGATACAGACCACTGGAGTCTTTGACGTGTTTCATGATTTACATTCTGGATACAAAACCCACACAGCAATCCTTCCTAGGGCCACACGTTTCCACGGGCACACACGCACACCCACACGCTCCCACAGTGGAGGGCTAGAAAAGCTCTTTGCAGAATGCTCCTTTGGGATTTTTATTACTATTATTTAAGAAAGACCCGCTGGAGGAGCAGCAAGGCTGACAGGGCAAAGGGAGAAGCTCCACCTCAGAAGCAAGAAGGTGCCTCAGCATTTTACACCAGATTCCTCCCAAACCAGACAGGGAACTCTTAATTAACATCATTTCGGGTTGGAGATGAGGATCAACAGCACTAAATGGCCCTTACAATAAAACTGGAAAGCTGAAGTCCTCTTTTTTTCTAACATGATAATTTCCAACTTGGATCTGTGTGAAACAGTCAAAAATTAATTAAAAACAACAGATTTTTTTCAATCCCAAACTCTGATCTCAATGAGACATGCAAGCAAAAAACTAGTAAAATTTCTTACGGCTTTGAAGATAAAAGTAAATTGAACTAAGCAAACGTCATATTTAAAAAATTTCCCCTCTAGCACAGAGCCACTTCTCAGTTAAATAAATAAATAAATAAATAAATACAGATATGTATACTCACAAACACCACCAATCTGCAGAAATAGTTTGCAGAAGTAAATACACTGAATAAACTAGAAGTTATTCAAGATAAGCCACACAATGCCACAGAATGTGTCCTTCCTCCAGCTGCAACTTCACCCGTGAATAAAGCAGTGAAATAAACTTATTGCTCTCGCCCTAACGCATTTACAACCTCAGCGGCTTCAATTCCCTTTGAAAACTGAAGAGGACCAAGGACCTCATACCTTTCACAGATGCCACAGAATTCCCTTTTTCTCTAAATCTGCGCAGCGGGAGGGCAGGTTGCAGCCCTGCCCACCATCTCCACCACAATTAAAGCACTTGGGGCAGAGCAGCTCCAGCTTGGCTGGTGCCACCAGCTCCCCCAGATGCCACCTCCGGGTGAGCTCAGCTGAGGCGGCTGCACATAAACCCCCTCACCCAACACGTTAGGACTGCGGGGCCCTGCCCAGGTGGCTGCTTGCCTTGGTAGTAACCTGCTGCCTCCCCGGGAATGCTGGGGCCACCAGCTGAGGAGGGTCTGCTCCAACCAAGACCCTCCCAAAACTTCAGGGAGGGAAGAGCTGTCACTTACTAGAGCCCTACCTGTGTCAACACCCCTTGAGCGTCTGACATACAGAGCCCTCCCTGCTCCACATTCACTTAGGAGACATTCAAAAGTCAGAGAGCACCGACTAAGCACTAGGATTTTCCATCCATTCCTAGCAACACAAATCCCTCTGAACTTGAGCATCTTCTTCCCTGGGTGACAAAGTTAAGCCAAACATTTCAGAGTTCTTGAGGAACTCTGTTCTCTGTTCTTGAGGAAAACAGCCTTCCAGCTCCAACTGACACAGGATTTTTGGCTTTTATAGAGCAATATAAGTCAAATTTAACTATCACTTGCAAGTTCTAATCAAAATGATC